GCCTGCGGCGGGGCCAGCGAGTACGACTACGTCAGCTACCAGTCCGACCTGGGCCCCTACCCCGGGGGGCGCTTCTACGCCAAGCCCCACCAGTGCGTGGCCATCCCCGCCGACCTGCGGCTCTGCCACAGCGTGGGCTACGACAAGATGGTGCTGCCCAACCTGCTGGACCACGAGACCATGGCGGAGGTGAAGCACCAGGCCAGCAGCTGGGTGCCACTGCTCAACAAGAACTGCCACATGGGCACCCAGGTCTTCCTCTGCTCCCTCTTCGCCCCCGTCTGCCTGGACCGGCCGGTCTATCCCTGCCGCTGGCTCTGCGAGGCCGTGCGTGACTCCTGTGAGCCCGTCATGCAGTTCTTTGGCTTCTTCTGGCCCGAGATGCTCAAATGTGACCAGTTTCCCCAGGACGACGTCTGCATTGCCATGACGGCTCCTAACGCCACCGAGGTCTCCAGGCCCAAAGGTAAGGTGTGACCAACGCTCCAGCCCTGCTCCCAGCCCTCTCCTCTCAGCTGATGGAGCAGGCATTAGCCCATGAGGGGCTGCGTGGGGCTGAGGGGGGTCTCACAGGAGGAGGCTGATCTGAGCTCTGCTTCTCGGCAGCAAAACTCCAGCCTCTGGGTGCTCTGTGAGCACTCCTGTCCCAAGAAGGTGGGACGCCCTGCCAGCTCCATTGCTGGAGGCATGGCGGGTGCGTGGCTGCTCTGACCCCACCGGGCTCCAGCCCCTGATGGACCAGGGCTTAACCTTCCATCCTCCAGGTCCTGCACTGCCCTGGCAGCAGCTTCTCTGCCAAGCCCGACTCCAATGGGGTTGTTCTTGACCACAGGACACGTGGTCCCCACGGCAGAAAGCACTGTCTGACCGGAGTAAATGGTGACAGTAATCCTGAGGGGGTACCTCGCTTCCCGAGCTGTGCTGGGGGAGAACTGGGAAACTGGGTGGAGATCCATCCCTGCCCTCCCGGGTGCTGGCGAGGGGGCAGGAGGCTTGTCAAGGAACGACTGGGGAAAGTGGATGTGATTCTTGTTTGTTTTCATGATGTTTGGGAGGTCTGTTTGGTGCTGGACTGGCTTGTTTGTGCGAGTTGCAATGAGTTCGACTTGTTGCAGAAAACTTTTAAAAGAAATAAATATCCTGGTGTCGCTTTGGCATCCTGCCTCGGGGCGCTTTGAGAGGGGGATATTTGTAGAGGGAGAAGGCAGTGGGCTGGGAAAGTGCAGCACTTTCCTGTGCGGAGCCTTGTTCCAAGGGATTCAGGGGGGACGTGGTTCGGGTGCTCGGGAGGAGCCCCGGGACCAGGAGCTGTGTGTGGAGCTGACCCACTGCTGTGGCTTCTGTGCTGCCTCTGGGGCTCGTCGGGAGGGATGGTTGCCCTTTGCCGTGGCCACTCGCCTGCAGGTACCTTTGCAGACAAAGGCTTTACGTGGTGCTCGGCGGGGAGCCCTCGCCCAGCCTGCGGGGACGGCACAGCATTGTCCCACTCATCCCAGCGGGACTCGCACTTTGGGGATCCCTTCAGTTATGGGGCAGGAGGGGAGGGTGTCCTGCAGCAGAGGGGTGACACCCTGGGGTGTCCCCGGGAGCCAGTGCAGGGCACGGGGGAGCGATGGCGTGGGGGGACGGGGCAGTGGGGAGGGAGGATTGAGCTCGACACCCTCTGGAGCCACACAGGGAGCTCTGCCAGCCCTCGGCAGGGGTGCCCGGGGGCAGGTGGGGTGTGAAGCCTGTGCCCACCCCGGGGTGAGGTTTGGCTGCTCCCCCCGACGGCAGCACAGCCACGCTGCCTTCCGAACCGCGGCTTGGGCTTTCTGATGCGATTGCTGGAGGAAGCTCTTTGTTTTCCAGGAAGGCTCAAAAATCATCTATCCTGTGTGAACCTAGACCCTTGGTCAAGACCGCGGCCGCATCCTGCGCTGTGGGTACAAAGGCCGCTGTTACTCCTCAGGGACTTGCAGCCAAGCGTGCTCCCGGTGCAGCCGGGTCTGAGCCATTGTGGTAGAGCTGCCCCTTCCAAGGTCCGAGGCAGTTTGAGCTGTCTGCAGGTCATTCATTTTAGAGACATTAATGAACCAAGCCTGGGAACAGTCATCTAGATGAGCAGCATCAGCTGGGTTTTCCCTTGTGCATTTAACAGCTCACTTTCTGATCACCTCTCGGACCTGTCCTGATGGCAGCATCGGGCTGGGATGTCTCTGCTCTCTTTGGGTGCTGCCAACGTGCCTGTTGGCACAGTATTGGGGCACCATGGTGTTCTTCACAGGCATCGCTAAAGGGGCTTTGTACAGGGGATTACATCAGGACCCGTTTCGGGTACAGAGAGGCCTCCTTCTGCACAAGCTTTAGGGTTTATGAACTTGTTCTTGGAGTGACCTGTAAATGGGAGCTGGGTGAGCATTGCCAGGAAGTATTGCAGCCACTTGGATAAACCGCTGTCTGCTAAATGGCTTTGCAAAACTTATGTCCCAAGCACTTTTGAAGGAGCAGTTTGTTTGCAAGGATGTTTACAGAAAGTAAGTTTTTAGAATTGTTGTCCAAATGTGAACTCTCTTCATCATTCAGTGGAAAATGGAAAAAATGTAAAAGTATAAGATTCTTCACATCCCCTGGCTGCTTGGAAGTGTTTCAGGAGGAAACCCTTGCATGTGCCATAGCTGAGTCCTGGCAGCTGTGGAGGTGTTGGGCCGAGCTCCCTGTGCCCGTCGTGCCAGCTGGGGCACTGCTCTGTGAGGGGATGAGAATCTTGCTAGAAATTGCTTCTTGGAGCTGCGGAGGGCAGCCCCCGCTGCTCTCCCTGGGTGAGCCGGCTTTCGCGGCCGCGGCAGAGGGATCTGGCTTGTATTCTCCAGGAGTGACCTTTGGAGGGTGAAGCTCCACGAGCCACATACGCCGTGTGCTGGGACACTCTTGTGTCCAGCTTAGAGTGGACAGAGCAGATTTAAAGTTAATTTAAGTTAATTAAACTTAAGTGGCTGCTGCCGTAATGTGAACGGACGCAGCCGGGTCTCCTGCTGGCGTGGTCCAGGTGGGATCTGTGCATCATGGCAGCGATGGCAGGGCCAGACCCAGCGCTTGGTCCCATTGCAGACGAGGGGTGCCCCTGGCCGAGCATGATGGTGCCACGGCCGTTCAGCCCCCGTCCCGCTGCCAGGTCCTCCCCTTCGCCCGGGGCTCTGCCGACGGAGACCCACAGTCCATGTTTGTCCCAGAGCCCCTTCAGTCTCGGGCCCTGGGGTGTGTTTCCTGTTGATTCAAAGAGGGTCAGGACCCAGCAGTGTCCCCCCTTTTCTCCGGGCACTAATAAGAACGAGCCCTTTCAGTATTTTTCCCCATTAACACCTTGAAATTGGAATTTGTTTCTGCCTCTCAAAGAGCTGACCTGCTGAATTCCTTTCTCCTTAAGCAGGAGGCGGTAAAGCCTGCAGGCCCACAGGATGCATCAGGGGAGTTGCAGATTAATATAGCATTACACATTCCTTCTCCTGCCCCTGGAGTAAGCTGGCTCTAAAGCCAGGCGGTAGAAAATGGTCAGCAGGGACAGAACGAGCTGGAAGCAGGCGGAGGTTGTGCTCGGAGTGGAGCTGTCGACGGCAGGAGATGGACTGGGAAGGCAGGCAGTTTTGGGATATCGTGGCTCCATGGAACAGCAGTGTTCCTGGGGCGCAGAGCTGTGCGGGAGCTGGTCGAGCCCCTGACGTTCATGTTCCTGACCTTGGTGTGATGGGGTGTCCCATAGGAGAGGAGCGTTTCCCATCCTCTTGGCATGAGACAGTGTCCCCTGGCAGCCCTGCAGGCATGTCCGTGCTGCGACGGGGCGGGGATGGAGGATGCTCCCCACATGTGGAGCTGCTTGGGTGCCTGCGGTCACTCGCCAGGCCACGGGGGTCCCGGCACAGGGCGACAGTGATGTGTGTGGGGTTTACCATGGCAGGCGAGGCTGCTGCTGGCACGGCAGTGGGCAATGCTCACCCTGCCCAGGACATCATGGAGCTGCAGGGAACTGTCTTCTCTGTGGCGAGAGGTGCGTTGGCGGGACAGACCTGCAGCACAGTGGGCAGACACGTGCGGTGTCGCCAGTGGGAGGGATGGCTGCTGGAGGGGCTCCCTGCTGGGAAGGGGTACCTGCCACCCTGGGTGTGCCAGAGCCTTACCAAGGGCTGCTGTAGGACAGCTAAAACGAAGCCCGGGTGTTCACCAGGGAACAATGAGTCTTATTTTCCATTTTGGGTTTTTTTTTCCCTTTGGTTGCCTGGAAAGCTTGGGAGGTAGCCACAGTCGTAGCTGCCACGTTGTTTGTCTGGCCCATGTAGCTTGGCCAGTCTCCTCCTGTGCACTTGGGCTGCCGAGGCACACGAAAGGCTTTGCCCGCTGGGATGTGTGGAGATGAGGGATGGCAGGTACCCCCTCCGGTCCCTGAGGGTGGTCCCCAGCGCAGTAACCAACTCTTGGCAGCGCAGCAGGGAGAGACCGCTGGGCTGTCACCCTCCTGCCAGCATCCCCTCTCCCTCAACACAAGCTCATTAAATGCACTGGATGGAAATGCAGCCTGGATGGAAATATTCTGACTGCTGATTTTAAAAATAAAGCACTTTGGATGTCATCATGTCCCCAAAGGCTCCTGTCGGTGTCACTCTAAGTTAATTCAGTAAAAGTGGCAATTGCACGTTAGGGTTTTGGAAGAGGGAGTCAGGCAGGTGATGGGGGCTCTCATGGGTACTGAGGGAGCGGGGCTGTGAAGGCATCTACTGGGGGCTGTGAAGGTTGCCGTGTGACTGGCACATCGGGGTGATGGGGGGGGCCAATTGCTCTGCGTGTGTGATTAATGAAGACATGGTGCCTGACCCCAGGAATTAGCGTTTGGCAGAGAACAGGTTTGGGGGAATGAGAAGGGAAGAACAAGCCACGGAAATCAAATGTCTCGCCTGAAATCCCATGGGGCGTCTGTGACTGAGGAGACTCAACTCTGTGGTGGGCGCGAGTCGAGGCTGTGCCTCCCTTGCCAGCTGTTCTGTGCTCTCTGTAACACCCCTGTTTTTTCTGTTCCCAGCACTGTGGGTTTTGCTGGCCAGGCTGAGGGCTGGAAGGGGTGAGAGCTCCGTCTGCACGCAGGGACCGGCAAGTGTTCCGCTGCACTGTCCCTGAGAATAATTCCCTTGTGTGGGAAAAAGCCCTCCGTCCTCCTGGACCGGGAACAGAAGCAGCATCTCCCAGCTCAATAAATTCATCCGCCAGTAGCACAAATCTGCGTCTGTGCTGCTGGGTGGTCTCTGCTCCGGCTGGAGACAGGAACCTGGAAACAGATTTTTATTCTCTGGGTGAAGTGAGCTTTCCTCCCAGGATGGATCCCGATGAAATGTTCTGGTCTGGCTTTTCCCGAGAGGAGGATGTTGGCTGGCGAGCAGAACTGGCTCTCCTCTGCTGGAGCCACGAGCTGCCCTACAGGGTGTAGCCAGGCCGAAACCAAAAAAGAGATGATGTTTGCTCTCGGGATCGTGCTGGAGAGTCTTCTGGAGGGGAACAGCGCACGCAAGAGATGTGCGGGTCCCTCACCAAGCAGCACTGCTCTGGGCAGGGTGGGATGGAGGCAGGCGAGGGGCTCACCATGTGATGCCCGGGCAGCCTGCGAGGTGGTCCCTGGCACTGAGGGGGACCCTGCACCGAGCTGGGCTGTGACACCCCTGCCTGGCTCCGGGGCAGCCTCCGGGCACTGTCCTCCTGCCGCACCAGGTTTGGCCACCATGTGCCTGTCTTGGCACACTGCGGGGAGGGAGCATCCGTGGGCTGCGGGCCATGCCCTGCGGCAAGCGGCTGCCCTCAGCTGAGTGCCTGGCGCTGGAAACCTCTCTCCTTGCCAGCCCTGTCCTCCCGCTCTTGGCAGCTGCCTGCCCCTGCCCGTGCCGGCCTCGGGGCCACCAGCAGCGCTGGCAGGAGGCCACTTGTGGCCAGCACTGCCCTGTGATCCGGTGGATGGCTCCTGACCCCCAGCAGAGTGTTGTCTCTCAGAGCTGGGACCCCATGTCAGGGTGCCTGGCATGTGCCCCCTTCAAGGGCAGCCGGCTCTGTGGTGCTCCTTGAGCTGGCTCCTCACCACCTCTTCTCTCCTCTTGCCAGGAACGACCGTGTGTCCCCCTTGCGACAACGAGATGAAGTCGGAGGCCATCGTGGAGCACCTGTGTGCCAGCGAGTTTGGTAAGGAGGGGCGCTGGGGGTGTGGGGCCTCTCCATGGGGTCACCGTGGCTCCTGTGGGCCAGCTCCTGGACCACTGCGTTTCCCTGCCCGGCCCCAGAGCTGTGTGGCCAGTGGTGTGGCTGGTGTGGCCACATTGCCCGCGGGCCTTCCCCGAGGCTGGGCCTCTAGATGTCAGTGTCGGCGCGCGGAGGCGGGTGGTGGGATGGGATGGGACGGGATGGGATGTGTCCGGCTCCTGATGCCGAGCATGACCGGTGGCCGTGCCTGCGCCCTGCCATCACCCCGGCCATGGCGTGGTGGCCCTGAGCGTCTCTCCTGCCCTGCCTGCTGAAACGCCGCGGGATGGGGCCCAAGCACAGGATCCACCAAACTGGTCATGCTCTGGGGCCCTGCTGCTGCCACCGGCCCCAGCTGCCAGCAGAACCAGACGGTGTCGGTCTGGGGATGGGGCAGAAGTGGCAGTGCCTGTTCTTTGGTGATCTCAGGGACATTTGCAACTCAACCCTGGTGTTCCCTCCCATGCTCGTCTTGTGTGGGTCCCTCCACAGGGTACGCTTCTCCAGGGACAGACGGCTCCAATGTGGGTTCCCCCACTGGGTCCCTGCTCCAGCACAGGCTCTCCACAGGGTCACAGCCTTCTTCGGGCATCCCCCTGCGCTGGCGTGGGGTCCTCCACAGGCCACAGGGGATCTCTGCTCCACCATGGACCTACACAGTCTGCTCTGGTGCCTGGAGCACCTCCTGCTCTCCCTCCTCACTGACCATGGGGTCTGCAGGGCTGTTCCTTTCACAAACTCTCACTTCTCTCTTCGGTTGCATTTGCTCTTTACAATTGCAGGAATGATGTGGTGGATGGACCCTTATTCTGGTTGCAGTCACGCAGGAGCAAAGGAGCTTCTTCCTTCCTCCAGACTGCTTGTACGGCTGGGTTTCTTTTTAGCAAAGTTATGCTGCTCTTGTCAAGTCCAGGTGTAAAAACCCAAAGCCAGCCCTTGTCTAGCTGGGGCCAAGCAGTGAGCTTAAATAATGCAGAGCTACTTGAAAGCTGTGTCCTAAATATATTATGACTGAGTGAGTGAGTCAGACAATCATAGGTAAACAGACCTTCATTTAGAGAAAGAGTATCACAGGGAAAAATATTAGCTTTCTCAGATCAAACCTAGAATTAACTGGTTTTGACATCCTTGCTGGTGTATGTAACTTTCCCGGAAGGTTATTAAAGGCATATTGAACAAGGTGTGCATTCCTCGGGGATTAGCACTTGAATGTGCCTTGTGCTAGAGCGCGCTATGCAAACCCAAACCTGCTCTGCATGCCGGCGTATTACCCTTTCTGCTGGAAATGAATTCTCCACTCTCCTGCAGATTTGGAATGCAAAAAGTCCTAAGTTCAGCGCTGGCTTTTTCTAACACGGGAAAGCATCAACAGGAACACCCCTGTAATAGTTTCCCAGGAATGTGCGTGCTTCCAGCAGGGTTGGGTAAGGGGGGCACCGATCCTGCGCGGAGCCTGGCCGGGGAGCGGGACGCGCTGTTCTCCTGGCTGTTGGGCCGACCACTCAGCGATGGGTGAGATGGAGAACTCTGAGCTGTGTCCCACACAGGCGTGAGACGATGCATGGGACCTCCCCCTGTCCCACTGCATCCATGGGGAGAGACTGCAGGGACATTCCTGGCCCTTGGGGAGGGAGTGAGTGGGTCTTGGACCAGCACCCCTGGTTGGGGCAGGGGGTCTGTGCCCTGGTCTGCGGTGACAGAGGCATCACCCCGGTCTGGGGGCTCTGGGCTTGGGAACCTGTATCCTGGAGGGGCACTGGCTGGGTGGCAGCAGTGGCTTCATTGCCAGCAGGTCACTGCGATCCCTGTCACCTCCCTGGAGGCACGCGAGGAGCAAGCCGAGGTGGTGTCCTGCTGGGGGGCAAGTGCTGGGAAGGGAAACACGAGTTTAACCGCATGGTTGTCATCAGTCTGTGCCGCTAAGTATACCCCCCGTGCTCTGGGATGGTTACACAACGGGGAGCAGAGGCCAAGCCAGAAACATTCACGGCCTTGGTGGAGTGGCTTGAGACACTGACTTGCCCACAGGGTAAGTTGGTTATTGGGAAATTTTGTGGTGACAGCATCCAGAGGATGGAAATATTTCTTGGCAGGCAGCTCCCAGGGAAGGGCTGTGGCAGCTGGGCAGAGAGATTACCCTGCACTCGAGAGCAGGGCAGAGATGGGATACGGGTCCTACCTGTGCCCTGCAAGGGAGAGTGGAGCAGAGCTCCTGGGGATGTCCCAGGGGATGGAGAGGAGTCAGCGGAGGAGGCCTCGGCTGCAGGAAGTTTTCTCGAAGCATAGTGCATGGTCCTCGGATCTTTGTTTAGTCTTGGGGGTTACTGTCATGGGGTGATTTCTCAAGGAGAGCTGTTTATCTGGCACTAAAATAAACTCCTGTCCCTTCAGGCTGAGGTTTCTCATGCACATCCACCAAGGTAAACACTGGCAGCTGACAGGTTACAGACCCTCATCAAAGCTGGGCTCCTACAGTAAATGTTTAAATGAGCGTGTGCTGCGCGGGGCAGCTGTCGGTGCGTCCCACACCGATTCAGCGATGTTCCTGTGGGTTTCACTTGCACCCCAGTGGCTGAGTACAGCCAAGATGCAAGAAGCACCATGCCCATCCCCTGTGGCTGGGAGTGGGGCTGCGGGAGTGTGGGGCAGGGGGTGTCAGTGAGGCATCAGTGGGGCAGGGACCCTCACCCGGGGGTGTCAGTGCGGCATCAGTGGGGCAGGGACCCTCACCCGGGGCACGGAACAGTGTGGGGGCCGGGCCAGGTGTGTGTGAGCTGATGCAGTTCGGGTTTTGGTGCGTCTCAGGTGTGCGGGGGGATGGATGGGTGGGTGGGCGGGTGGGTGGATGGGTGGATGGATGATGGAGTGTGAGATCATTCTTGGGTGATCTCCACAGGGTGATCTCCGCAGCCGCCTCCCCCAGCCCCCCGGGGCTGCAGCCAGGGTTTGCTCCTCACCCCTCGTGCCGGCGGGGCTAGCCCTGGAGTTCATTCCTCTCTCTGTTTCTCTTGGTGATTTTATTTATTGTTTCTGCCCTTTCTCTGGGGTCTGAGGGGATCCTGCTGAAGGGGCTCTCTGCGCTGGAGACTGCAGTACAATCAATACATGCTGTTTATTTTTTCCCGTGACTGACAGCTCCTTGCCTGCAGCCTTCTCCTGTTACAGCCCTAATGTGTCTTCTGGCAGGTTTCCTCCTCCTGAGTGATTTCTAAAGGAAGGAGCAATGAGGCCGAAGGAACAGCAGAGCTTTCCCTTCTCTCACGTTCCCTTCCCTGCCCCTGAGGTGCTGGTGTGGGGCCCCTGCCTGTGCAGGCAGGAGAGCAGCAGAGACAGCGTCCCGCTCCCAGGCTCCTGCGTGCTCAAAAAGAGGGTTTTTAGGTGCCTGCGGGGCACAGCCATGGTGGTGGCACAGTGAGCAGGGCCCCCCCAGTGCAGCACAGTCCTTGGGGACACGGGGAGCATGCCTGAGCCTAGTGCTGGTGTTTTTTTTTGCTGGTACTTTGCTTCCGGGGACACTCACATGGTGCTCCCAGTTTACCTGGGAGACTGCGTTTCCTCTTTGCCCTCGCTGGGAGTGGGACTGGAAAGCTGGAGCTGTAGGGACATGGATAAGAATTGTTTCAGGTTGTGCTTTGTCAGGCTGGACCCTGACCGGCTTCTTGGGGCCTTTGCTGCGCTTGGAGCTGCTGCTGCCAAGAGTAATTTCTCTCCAAGTGAGCAAACACTTTCATACACCCTGTTTCATATTAGCAGAAATAAAAAAAAGACATTTTTATATCTCCAGCGCTCCCTACTCTCTCTGCATTAGAGATAGCAGAGCTGTGCTGCCATTTGATAGGAGCCGTTTGTTGTTGGGGCCAAATTCCTGGCTTGGTGTAAGGGGTGCCTCCCCCCGGGGCTGGGTCTGACCCTCTGCTGAGGGCTGGGGATGGGGCAGCTGAGCATCCAGAGCCACCACGATCCCTCCTGTGCATCCGCCCTGGGCATCCTGGTGTTGGAGCAGCCCAGAGGGAAGCACAAGGTGGCTTGGGGACAAGGAGAGGAGGACCTGGGAGGGGATGAGGATGCCTGTGCTGGCCTTCTCTCCCTACTCCGATGGTTGCTGGTGGCATGGTCCTGCTGGATGGTGCCCTGGGAGAAGACAGGGCTGGTTGATGTTGCAGTGTTGTGTTGGGAGCAAGGATGCTGGGGGAAAGTGGGTTATATCTGATTGTGGTGTTGGCAGCTCCCTGTGGCAGCAGGACTAGTGACAGGGTCGGTGCCCGTGCTGGGCTTCTGGCACCGGCTCTCCTGGCTGGCAAACGCTGGCGAGTGGCTCGTGCCTGGGCAGACATCAGCTTCTTGACAGCAGGGCTGAGGAAGGGCACGTGTGGGTTTAGCACCCGGGAGGATTTCTGCTGCTGTAAACACAACGTGGCCGAGAGCTGCCGAGTCCCAAATTAAATCCTGAAATCTGCCTTTGTTGTGTTTTGTTTTTTCCCTCCCAGCCTGACTAATGCTTTCACTTCTGTGTTTTCTGGGAAGAGCCTTTGAAGTGGGCGGCTGGACGCTGGCTTGGGCTAGGGGTCTCTGGCCAGGACTTGCCTGCGAGTGGATGTGCTGGCCAGCTGGCAGGGAAAGGTGTTTTGGGACCAGGTATGGCACACAAGGAGAACCTCTCCCTGTGCCTGGCAGGAGTCCCCCTTGCCCCGAGCACCATCAGCCGCACAGCCCAGGGCACTGCTGGAGGGGAGAGGGTCCTGCTTGGCCAGTCCCTGTCCCTGTCCCTGCGGGCATGGATGTCCCAGGGCGGTGTGCAGCATCCCTGGGGATCCCCTGGCACCGTGTTGCACTGGATCCGGTGTAGTGTCTCAGCACACTGGCAATGTCGCAAGCAGAGTGGAGACAATGCCTGGCTGGAAAGGGCTTTCCTGGTTTTATGTGTGGTCCTGGCTGTAGCCGGCCACCAGCTACAGCCACACCAGCTGGCCACCAGCGCTGGGGTGGAGAGAACAGGCTCCTCTGCCATCACCTCTCCTGGTGTGGCCCAGACTCGGCCCTGGTCCCCTTGGTGCTCCCGTAGACAGGGAAGCTCGTGGTCTCTCGGCAGCCCCCGAGGCTCTGTCTGCCTGCGGGTGCTCACAGGGAGGGGAGCGAGAGCCTTTCCCTGTGAGCGCCTCGGCCAGCATCCTCGGGAGCAGGGTGGAGGCTTCGATTACCAGGAGCTTGGGTTGAAGAGGAAGGTGTTGAGTGCGTTTGGTGAGAAGATGTGACTGCAGCTTAGTGAGGGTTTGGTAAGAGGTTGTGCTGGAACCTGTGAGCGTCACCTGAGAGCCAAGGGGAAGATGTGCTATCCCGAGGGGGCAAGCATGGGGGTGTATGGGGGGGCGGAAAGGCCAGGGCTCCCAGGGAGGAGGCAGTTTGCTTTGACAGCCCCTTTGGATCCCGGAGCCAAGACTCAACCTGTCCCACTCAAGCTGTTTCCAGCAGCAGGGATGGGGGGTTCCCGGGGCCGGGGGGACACTGGGAGGGCTGCAGTGGTGAGCGCTCGATGGCCCCCCTGAGAAACGAGTCCTTCCTGCCCGGGAGTCTCACCTGGAAATGGGTCTGAGCGTAAGGAGGGTTGCCCCAGCAGGGGAGCAAGGGGATGCTGGGGACCAGGGGACCAGGTCACTGGCAGATGGGTGAAAACTAAGCAGTGATTGTAATTACTTTTTTTTTTTTCCCTTTGCTCACGTGAGGGCTCCGTCTGCAGCGAGGTCCTTCAGGCTGCCCTGCAGGGACAGGAGCTGCTCCCCCAGCACAGGGTTACCAGGCCTTCTTTGTGTGATACTTGGAGCAGAACAGCACCTCTGCCGGCTGCCAGATCGTTTTCTTCCTCCAGCAACAAGGATCTAAACTTGCAGCGATCACAGCAAAGCAATTTGCAAACGAGCCGTTTTGAAAAAGTCTCTTATTACTGGTGTTATGCCATTCCTCCTGCACTGGCAACCACCACGCTTAGTGCAAGAGTTCAAAGTCAGAGCGGATAAAGAAATTGAGGTTCATATTGAGGGATGCTGCTGCTGCTGCCCGATTAATGTCATGGAGCTTAGAGCTGCCTGAAAACTACTTGCTCCATTTTCCAGATTTGTTGCAAATTGATCTGGTTCAGCGTCTTTAGCTCCTTAAAGCTCGTGTCTCTTTAGCTTCTTAAACATCTTGAATTTGGAAAACAGATGGAATGAAAATTTCACTTAGGTTTCCAGTCCTGGATTACTTTCTTGTACAGTAACAGTATAACACGACTGAGCTCTTGGCAAACACAGCAGGCATTTCTGGCACAGGGGCAGATAAATACCATTACTGCCGCTGCCAGCGCAGGGGCTGGGAGCACCAGGGGGACGCGGAGACTCTGCTGCCGTCCCGGGTTGTCGTCGGGCGGGCTGTCCTGCTGCCATTTGTGTCTGGAACAGTGAGTGGAGCTGCCCTCCAGAAAGCAACGTGTGCTCCTTGCTACAAGTTCCAGCAGAGCAAGACTTCAAGGAACGATGCTGCGGGGACCCGTCTCCCTGCCAGAGCCAGAGGCTTCTGCATGCAGACTGCTGCAAGCAAATGGGAAGGGACAGCAGACAATTAATCACCTATCCCAGCACTATTTATCTGCAGCTCTGAAGTAAACTCCCAAATGATGAAAATATGTTAGTAATTTTTGGCCATATGTGCTTTTCCCCAAAAATGAGGCAGAGCCAAATGGCACAGAAGTGATACTTTAATGTACAACACATTTTCATCATTTTTCCCATGTATACTAAATTCCTCTTCATGGTCGTGGCAAAGGAACGTTAACTTCGTTTTTAATTCGGGTTGCGATTAACTCGGGGAAAATGCTGAACCCAGAGAGGAAAATATTTTTCCATGGAAGTTGTATGGGATTAACTCTGCTCTTCCTGGGAAGGTGCAGGCGTGTGGCAGCTCCGTGCGGATCCCCCCCACGCCGCTGTTTGCCAGGGGCTTCCAGCTCTGTGCTCCCTGCCGGGAAACTTGTTGGCGGGCAGCTGGGGCCAGGAGTGACCGCAAACAAATGCTTGAGAAGCCAAGTTGACCTTTCAAATGGCCCTTTCAAGAGCCTCTCCATGGGTCTAGAGCAAGGAAATCACCTTGTTTGCCCAGCTAAGGTTTTGCTAGCCCAGAGTGTGTCACCAACCAGACCAGTCTCCCTCAAATGGAAAGCGGCCAGTGCTTTTCTGGGGCAAGGGGAACAGAGATGTCGGTGTTGCACCTCAGTGCTCTCCTGGGCACGGGGATGGCTCCTCTTCAGGTGTGAGGGGTTTGGTGTCGCGGTCACTGAGTGACAGTGCCGAGAGGGAGCGGGGCCGGTGTCTGGGGATCTGCAGCTGGGCAGAGGCTGCTGTGTCCTGGGGGGACAGTGATGGTGCCCCCCCCGCCCCCAGCCTCGCTCAGCAAAGGCTTTGTGCCTGCAAAGGCTGCTCAGGAGTCATTTTGTTTTCCCCCTCTCCCTGGCTTGTCTTTCAGCTCTTAAGATGACCATAAAGGAAGTGAAGAAGGAGAACGGGGACAAGATGATCGTCCCACGGAAGAGGAAGGCGCTGAAGCTGGGGCCCATCCGGAAGAAGAACCTGAAGAAGCTGGTGCTGTTCCTGAAGAACGGGGCCGACTGCCCCTGCCATCAGCTGGAAAACCTCGGCCACTACTTCCTCATCATGGGCCGCCAGGTGAAGACCCAGTACCTGCTGACGGCTATCTACAAGTGGGACAAGAAGAACAAGGAGTTCAAGAAGTTCATGAAGAAGATGAAGTCTCCCGACTGCCCAACGTTTCCATCCGTTTTCAAGTGATGCGGTGGGCGGCAGGAGAGCCGCCGCCTGGACCTCGCGCAGCCCGGCATGGCAGCTTGGCCTTGCTCCTCGGCCGCGGGGATGCGGAGCCCTCCTGCTCCTCCTCGTGCTCCTCGGAGCTCCCCTCGCCGACCCCAGCCCTCCCACCTCCCCGCTGCCGGCATTTTCCTGCTCGCCCGGGCATGCAAGGGTGACACACGTGCACCGAACGGTCGCTGAGGTCGCACGCGATTTACGTCTGCAATATCCAAAGAGCTATTGCTGTACGGATTGTACATTCATTTAAATAGCATCTATCAGGTACAGAGGGCAAGCGGAGGGGTGTGGAGTGATGTCAAGAGATTACACGGTTGCAGAAAGGACCCTTGTGACCATGTTACTCCCATCTTTGTGGCTGCAGGATGACGCTAAACGAACTCCTGTTTGAGCCAGAGCCGGCCAGTTAGAAAAACATCCCATCCTCACAATAAAAGTTAAAAAAGGAGTAGCGGAGAACCCATTACCTCCTCTGATAAAACCTCCTGATAGCTAATTGCCCTCACTGTAAAAAAATCCCACTGTAGCCTAAACCTGCTTAGTTTAAGCCTTAACCCTGGGGTCCTCGTGGTGCCTTGATCGTCTGGATCGGGGAGCACCCCCCTCACCAGCATCTCCTGTAACGTGTCACTGGGACGCCTGCCTGGCCCCTGCGAGCCGAGCTGGCCGAGCCCCCTGAGCTGGGGCCACGCTGCTGCTCCTGCTCCCGCCTCCCGGTCCCCATGGTCCTGTCCGGCGGGATGGGGTGGCCCTCCAGGCTCGCACGGTCCCCGGCCACTGTGGCATCCCGTAGAGCATCCCCAGCCACCACCTCCCGTTCCCGTGGGGCCGGCGCTGCTTCTGCCCAGACTCCTGGTTCAGTTTTGGCCGCGAGGAAACGCGTCCTGTTTTCCGGCCATCCCAGCAGCCTGGGGCGCCCCGTTGGGGACAGCTCCCCACCAGCTCCTCCAGCGTATCACACTCCCCAACTTCACCGATGATACTTTTATAGTTTCTTCAGGCTGCTGGCAGAACACCAGACTGCAGAAGGCTGAGAACTGGTCCCGATGGAGTGCCGCGGGAAGTGCATCGTCTCCATCTTTCCCTCCTTGCTGTCGCTGGGGGACCTATCAGTTTCCAGGTTTTTCTCTGTTTGATGTGTGACAGCTTGGCTTTGTATCATTCTGGGGCTTTTTTCCTTAATCAAAATGTCATGTTAGTGTGAGGTCAAATAGTTTATGAAAGACAAAGAATATTGCATCCAAATGATTGCATTTATCGACCAAGCTGAAATTCATTATTCCATTAATTGGACAAGTTCTCTTTTCCACAGACCTGTATTGCTCCACTTTAATTATACTCTCCTGCTTCCATTCAGCGTTCTCATCAATCACGATTACTCCGAGAGAATTAATATCTTGCGATCTGAGATAATCATGTTGTACTGCAGTTAAGTGAAATAACAAATCCTCATTTTTGAGGTTTAAACCAACCCCACTCAAAGCTGGTAAATTAATTATTCTTTAGCTCGGGAGTGCTGCTTATTCCCCACGTGGGGATGGAGCTGTGGACTTGGTTGTAGAATTGGGTGAAGAAGCCGAGCGCACTGAGGAGTGATGTGTCACAGCGAACAGAGAGAGGGATTTAGGACGTGAACTCTGTAGAAAGGTTGTCTTAGGCCACCATTTGTAGTAGTGTTGTTTCTTTGATGCAAAGTTAATCGTTGTAGATAATGTGCTTTATCAGTGAATTAAAGAAATAAATAAACCATGGGCTTCAACATCGCAGATGGATGAGGTGAAGCTGGGGACAGACCCGCTCCTGACAGACCCAGCCCCGTCAGGAGCAGGTCGTGGCGCAGCCGGTCCCCGCGGGGCTGAGGGGCTGGTGACCGCGGAGCAGCCGCAGCGACGGCGCCCAGCAGAGCCCCGTGGGGACTGGGACAGGACCCCCCCGGATCCCTCCCAATGGCTGGGGGGCAGCGTGGGAGGAATTGCTTCTGTGTCAGAGAGAGATGCTCTGGCATTTAATTGGGCTGGGTTTCTGTGCTCAGGCTGCTGGTGGGTGTCCTGTTGGCCACCTCTGGAAACCTGCTGGGTAAAAGGCTCTTGATTTACTGTTTGAAAAATGCATATTTCAGCAGGAAGCATCAAATCAAAGAGCAAACCAGTTCACATGTGCTTAGAGCCACTTGCAGCCCTTGGCAGCCTTCGCTGCTCAGAAAGCCTGATTTTTCCACCATGGGTCTGGGGCCTGAGAGCCGGGATCCGGGGTGAGGCGAAGGGGATGGGGCAGGGTTCCCCTGTTGCTGCGGCACAGGCCATGGAACTGTGTCCCCGTCTTCATTAATACCCCTGCTGCTTTTTTCTGCACAAGTAGATCAGTTCTGCGATGTCCTGCGAGGGCAGTGTGGTCCTTCAGCCGGCGTCCCGGGGCTGAGGAGCCCCTGCGCCTCGGAGCTATCCCTGGGGAGAACTAATTATGACTGCAATTGCTTACTTACAGCATGACATGGCTGTATGTGAGTAGCTGCTCCGTCAGTTACTTCCAACACTCCTCTGACCCTGCATGTTTGTCCTTGAAAAGCCCATCGGAGCAGATTGGCACATCGTACTTCAGACACGGTATTTTGGACATTTCTATGTGTCTGGAAAGTAATTTTACCCTTCTCTCACCAAATTGCTTTGTGGTCGGTGCTGCGCGGATCCCGCAGGGGGGTCGGCCGGTTGTCACTCCACTTCCCTCCTGCTCTCTTGGTATGTGGAGGCTTTTGATAAAAATAACAGCACTGAAAGAAATGCCTTGGATATCACATCACGTTGTAAGCAGTTAAGGTATCTTTACATTTTGTTTTATTTTAGATAGTGACTTTAGGAAAGTGTGGCAGATGAGAGGGGACTGTGTTTCTGTTTGGAAATTTAGAGAAAGAGAAAATGTAAAAACCAGTGAAAATCACAGCGGAGAACAGCCTTCTCTGGGCAGCAAACAAAAGCCTGGGGCAAAATCTGGCAGTTATTGCCTTCCCGAGAGTCTCTGGACCCAGGGTGAGGGACCATGTCTGGGGGTTCACCCCCCCAGCAGACGCTGCCTGAGCCTCCCACCGTTCTGAGCCCCGGCAGCATCCGCTGGCGTGTCCAGAGAGCTGGGGCCTGGCACAGGGAGGGGAAGGTGCTTCTCATGGGCCAAGCCTCAACGCCCCAGTGACACATCTCTGCTGTGGGAGCTGAGACCGGGAGGCTCTGTCCTGCGGAGCATCCTCTGCTGATGGTGCTCCCCAGGAGGTCTGGGGGTGCAAGGGCTGCACGGGGCGGGTTGTGCGGGGCTGGGGTCGGGGGGGAGCTGCGCACCCTCGCCCAAAGGCTGTCTTGAGTGGGCAGCCAGTAAAGGGCAGTGCTGTGCCTTAATGCTGTGGGGCTTGGCATTTTGATTTACTTTTTGGGAAAGTGCTTGGTTTGCGGGTTTCTGGGGAGGTGCTGCCAAGCAGGACCCGTGTGCGGGAGGAGGTAAGAGAGGTGGGGGCAGGAGGGCAGGGAGGGCAGGGGTTCCCGTGTGTGGGGAACAGCCCTGTGTCCCCAGCTCCCCCCGTCTGTACAAGTGCACACCAGTGGGCACCGGGAGGAAAGGGGTGGAGGGGCTGGTATGTGCTTGGCAGAGATCTGCTCTGGTGTGAGGGCTTTGCTGGGCTCATTTACCTTGGAGACAGGAGGAGAACAGCTCAAGCTACTCGCAAGCTATTGCTTGAAGGCCGACCGCTGACAATATAACGGTGAGGGAGCGCACGGGAGCACACGGCCCGGGTGAGGATCGGTGCTCGGTGCAGGAACCGGCACCTGAGCAGAGCGGGGAGACCCTGCTGCCCGTGGGAGCCTCCTGCTCGAGCCCAGGCCTGGAGCAGCAGAGCACGGCAGCTTTTCTCACAGTGTATTTTGATGAAGAAATCTGTACTTGATTGTTTTACTTTGTTTTAAACTTGTGGTTGATATAAACACATTATGGCTTCTGTCTTCTCTCTTCTATGATTGGAACAAGAAACCCCTCAATAAAATGCCTTTTTTCTTTGAAAGTTGTTTTTACTATTGCCTTTTCCATATCGATTGCATTACTCATTCCATGTGGTGCTGACATCCCAGTGCCCCAGCACATTGTCTCCTTGTGAGACACAGCATCTCGCCACTACTGCTGACGAGGGGTGATGTAAAAGTTTAAATCTTAGATCCACAGTGTTGGAGGCAGAAAAATCTAATGTCAAATTACTGCTGCTGTATTACATTATTTTACCTATACAGTTGTTCCCCACTAAATATCCCTGTTGTGCACCAAGTAGCTGAAGCTCGTTTTAGTTTACTCCAGAGCAGAGAAAGGAGGGCAGTGAACCCCTCGTAGCAAACAGTGTTTCTGCAGGAATCACCTTCCCTTTACCTCCTTGAGAGTTGTCCACAGCTGAAGCTGGTCACAGGGAGAGCAGACATGCTGCCAGGGATCCTCCTGCCCTCTTGGACCAGCCTGTGCTGCTGTCAGCCCCCAGGTTGTTTTGATCAAAGTAATTTACCCACCCACCAGGTGAGGAATGGCCAAGTGATGAGAATGGGTCCCAGCTGTGGGTGGGAGGTTTGATTGCTTGGGGGAACCAACAAGTTTCCCCTCTCTACAGCACTTTGGGCTGGGGACATCGGCTGTGGCAGCGTTGGCACTGTGATCAGGTAGGGTTGGTTGCTCTCCTTTTCCCAGTCCAGAGCTGGTGTCTGGGGTGGTTCAGAAGTTGGGGTGAAGGCTGGCTCTTTGCTTTCCTGCTGGGTCTGTTGTAGCACAAACCAAAGCATGACCATCAGTGGGTTTAAAGGATGCAGGGACCAGTCAATGTGTTTACTGAAAACGTACAAACTTGGTTCTTTTATGAGCTTCTAGTATCATCTGTCCAGAAAAGAGAACTGGCAATTATGGCAGTGCTTTTAGTTCATGTAAAAAGTTAAACTCATGGTTCATGGTTGCACGTGGGTGCATTTGCTGTCCTTATATTTATTGTCTGATGAAAAGTCTACCAAAACCTGAAATCCAGTAAGTGTAAGTTCCAGGGAAAGCACCTGAGAGATTGGAGTTGTGCTTGTGTAGGGTTGTATGGAGGAGCAAACAGACATTTACTGAAATATGAAAGCTGGAGAGGCTGCTTAAATCAGAAACTGTGTGTCTGCTGTCTTAGAGTTCTCCAGGAGCAGAAAAACTGGTGTTTGTGCAGTTCATGGGTGCACTTTACACTATAAATAGTTCAAATGCTGATTGTTGTAAGTTCTAGTTCTAGTTTAAGTTATAAGCATTTGCTTAAATCTTCAGCCTAAACTAAGACATGCTTTGTTTTGCTGGGAGAAAACCTCCAGTTTTGCCTCGGTGGGGGCTGTGGGGTGCTCTGAGAGATGGGAGTGTGGTGTCTGTGGGATTGTATTGCCTCCCCCCATGGAAAACTGCTTCTGACTTGGGTGGGGGCTGCAGCAGTAATTCTGGGAGGACAAGGACACTCAGGTTTCCTATCAGCCTGGGCTTCTCTGAAGCATTAATCTTGCATAAAATAAAATATCATCCTTTTCTGACTCAATTTATCCTTCCAATAATGTTTATCTTGTTTGCTCCAGCATTCCTTCTGTTGAGTACAGCCTGTTAATTGAGTTTCTGGCCTCCAGTTTGTAGTTAAGCTATAAACAAATAGTTTTCTCTCATGCTGTACCAAAGTCATCTTCTATCCCTCAATTAATTTTTTACGTTGCTGGCAGCCCACGTTCTGCTGTGACCCCTGCTGGGAAACGTGACTCTGGAAAGAGCAGCTGAGCAATTGGGGAGGGTTTCTCCTGGAGAAGAGCAGATACCAGCCTGGTGTGTCTGATGTAGGGCTTGGCTCATATCGTGTAAGAGGAGGGGGTGACGTGCCCCAGCTTCTCTGGGCACCAGGGGACAGTGTCTGGAAGGGAAGGTGTCCCTTCCAGCTGGCTGGTCCCTCCGGGCAGGGCTGAGCAGTAGCTCCCATCACAGCCCCCTGCCCGTGAGGGTCCCCAGCCCGTGCCCGGGCACACTCTGGTGCCTTAAACTGCAGAGTCTCCAGGCTCCTGACTGAGGATCTAACGACCCCCAGGAGTGGCAGGAGCTCCTGCAGATCGTTACACAAACAGGGAAGATGTCTATGCTCTAATACGGAGATAAACCCCTGCAAAGCAAGGGGTGTTTTTCTGCCTGTGGCCACGTGAAGCACTGGCCAGGAGAGACGTACAGTGCGGGTGCTGGGAGTTGTATCGTCCCGAGATGATGAACAGAGCAGGAAGTGGGAGAGAAATGGTTCCTTTCTTTTCAGACACTTTTGTGGAAAAAAGATCCATCAAGAAAGGATGGACGCAAAGGTCCCACCTCTGGGTGGGGTGGTGAGGGGCTGCTGGGTGAGCAGGGAGGTCTCTTCTGAAATATTCTCCAAAGCTGCAGGGAAACGCTCCTTTCCCTCCCCAGCCCCAGGAACGTGGCAGAGAAAATGCTGCACTGTGTTTCAGTGGCTGCTCCTGCTTTCTCTCTGAATCACGTTGGGTGACCCTTAAAAACGACGTGCATGCACGCATAATTAAAGCCAACCTCCACCCTGAGCTGTCTTTGGAAACAGTTGTTCCCTGACGCCGAGGCTCTTTTTTCTGTCCCAGCCAAGCCCCACACATGCCGCAGCGGCGCCGACACAGAGAGATCAAGTGGGGGGAAAAGTCTTCCAGCATCTTTAGCAAGTGCTTTTAAAATCTGTTTTGTGAGGGAACAGACATTTTTTTGTTACTGTTTCTTCCCCAGCTAATCCCGTCTGAGCCCCTGAGTGTGCTGCCCGTTGGCAAAGCTGCTCCCTTTTGATGGTCCATAGGTGTCCAAGTCACGCTCGAGTGTCCTTCTTGGCCAGGGTTTGGGGCTGGGGCTCTGCCCTGTGCGGCTCTTCGCCTGCGTCCCAGGGACCCATGTGTGGGGTCTGGGGGCTCTGCAGCCAATGGATTCCCCAAGCAGAGCTGCATCCCTGGGGGCCGGAGCGGAGGGAATGCAGATCAACCTGCCAGGGTGGCCGGCTGCTCCATGGAAACCTCCCAGCCTCTGGAAAATGAGGGCTTTGTTTCAAGACCTTCCCGGCGGAGGCTGGAATCCCGGCTGGACCGGCATCCTGCCGCAGGAACGCTGCCTGCATGGCAGGGAGGGGGGGTCTGCTTTCCTCTGCCATCAAGGCAGGACGTGCCAGGGACCGCGAGCGCCGGGGGTCCTGGCCCCACTCCTCCGGGTGCATCCGAGTGATGGATCTGTCTCACCGGCACGGGGGCACCGCCGGCTTCGCTCGCAGCCTGCCAGGAGCCCAGGAGCCGCCAGCAACGGGCAAACAGTCCCGCTTTTCTGTAGAAATGTGCACAGCCTGGAAATTCCCTGCTGTCTCTAACGTTTTTCCTTTAGAGACAAAGAGGAGATGTTTGCCAAGGCGCTGCTCTAGCAGGGAGGCGGAGGGAGGCCAGGATGTGGCTGGAAGGAGCCATACCTGAGGGCAGCTGAGCGGGCTGGGGCTGCTCCCTCTCCTGGGGACCCCCCTGCTACTGGAGGTGCAGGGAACGGCTCAATTCGAGACCCTGAGTGGCTGCTTTGCGTGCGTCAGACCCAACCGGCAACAGAAAGGTCTATTGGGGGCAACAGAAAGCAGGATCTGATGATGGGGTGGGTGGCACGTGGCACACACGGTGTTTGTGGGTGTGCTCTGCCTTCATCCCACACGTACCTGAAAAGATGCTTTCACCCGCCTGTCCCGCTGTGTTTGTGAGATCTTGCGATTGTTCGAGGGTATCGTTCTCTGCAACGTGGGCAAAAAGTGAAGTGGCTGTTTCATGACCTGCTTCCCACTGTGCATGGAGCTGTGGCCGAGGCAGGGAACACACCAGAGGCTGCAGACCAGAGACCAGAGTCCCTCCCGCGGCTGTTCTCGGCGCCAGGCCTGGCCGTGCTTTGGGGGACTGAGCTGCTGACCTTTTTGCCGTACAAATCCAAGTTCATGCGTTTTTATGGCCAGGATGGGCTGCTCTCAGACTGCAGCTCCTGTTCTGGGCACGTGCCACAGAGCAGATACTGGAAGGTCACTTTGTGCCACCGTGGGGTGTTTCACAAGCAGCAACACAGCAGAGATGACAAAACCAGATCTGATTTTCTGGGTGCTCTTGTGTGTGTTGGGGTCCAGTGCCGCTGCTGAGCGGGTGCTCCCTGTGCTCCTCCGAAGCCATCGCCACAAACCCTAAATGTGAGTGTTCAGGTAGTAAAGCTGTTCTGCGTTTCTTTGCTGGGTTCATCCTGGGGCATGTTACTCTACCAGCAACCTCTGCTTTTGCAGTTTGCTACCTCAATCTGACTTTCTCCAAACTCTTGCGTTATTAATGTGGTGAGAGATTAATTTACTAGAAGGTGTAGTGTTGTGTATAAATAAATTATAGCCCCAGAAGGGTGGTGGAGGCTGAGTATCTCTGCTGTTAATGGAAAAGAAATGAAGAGATTGGGGCATTTGTCTTTGGCAGGGTAGTGAGCACATGCACGATCTCTTGTGCACAGTGCTCAGAACTACATTAAACACCACAAATAACAAACTGCAGCCCCTTCAGGCAAATGCAAATGTGATGCCTTTAAGTCAGTCATCCTCAAGGGTGGGACAGTCTCCTTAGTTATTGTACAGAAGGGTAGATCACTGATTTGGAGAGGGCTGAACTCGTTTGTGGGAGCTCCCAGGTAATTTAACGAGTGGTTGTGTGATGGCAATGGCTGAGCTGTCCTTGCCAAGCTGGTGGTGCTGGCTGGTGGGGGTCCCTGTCCAGTCGATGGCTGTGAGGGGAGCATTTCTGTTCCACGATGGGTAGGATTTCCTCATCCCCCTGGAGAACCTCGTTCCCTCCCTCAAACAGGGACTGGTGACCTGTGCGGGGGCCCACACGAGTCTAATGACCGTGGTCCCAGCCCGGGATGGGGAGAACTGTGGGCCGTGGTGGCCCCGCTCCATCGGGCTGGCACGCTGCGGCCGCAGGCAGGAGGATCGGCCTGTTT